TTTGAAGTTTATGGTTTCAGTGATTTTCTCACAATCGTTATGATTGATTTTGGATTTTATAGATTTCGTATGCATTTTGCTCGTTTTATTGATTTTGTTGATACGCTAGGATAAAATATGACCAACACGTAGCCAGCACAAGCACGTTCGAAAGGGAAATTGGGAAACGCGCGACGCAAAATATCCGCCGTTTATCTTAAATATCAAAACGATCGCTTTCGATCGGGCAATCAATTGAACAAATCGCCGCACGTACGCAAAGGAACCGATCGCGTACAGCAAACCGGACAAAATGGAAATAACTCATAAAACGCTCGTTTGCTAACGCGTTGGTTTGCGAATACGCGTGGCTGAATGTGACTTTAGCTGAAGAAACGTTAAACCGATTGATGGCCGGAAATGTCAATTGCAAATGCTATTTTACTTCCTAACTCACTTAACTAAAATCTGCGAACAACTAATATGCACATAGCCCAAAAGCACACACCAACCGATCAGAAATAAAACTTAAATTAAATGTTGTCTATGACAAATAATGCAAACATAAAACAAATATTCTAATTTTAATTAAGAAATCCTTTCACTTCAAATATTCGGGATATTTCCGCGAGTATATTTAAACTAATGCTAAAATCTAACGTTGCCAAAACGTTTCTAACAAAAAATTCATAATTAAAATGTTTAAGTTAAACCTTAGAGATTAAGTTGTAGAACTAATAGAATCATTAATAATTTATAGGCATAGTCAAAGATTAATTATATTATAATTAAAGAAAATGCCCGTCATTCAAAAAAATTAAAAATACAATTTTATTTACTTTTGATTGTGGTTAATAAACCTAGGTACCTATAAGTTTTCAATTTACCACATCCATTGACCACATATTTGAATATTTAAATTTATGATCGAAACAATTTAACATAAAGAATATGTGAACATTATGCGTGTATCAACATAATGTGTGCTCTAATGGTTATAGCCAATGAAGCCAATGTTCCTGATCGGGCACGAATTGACGTTGTTCTCGCTTAGAGGTGGGACTGTTGTTTACAAATTATCCTGATTGATTTAATGGACATCGCAAATAGACACACGGAATTATATACCAGTACACATTACACTTACCATATATGCGACCAAAGCCTGCATGAAAATATTATGGTAATTAAGAAACGCAAATAAATATTCATACTTACCTACTGATTAATTATGGGCGTAAATGTGCGTTCAATTGCTGTATCAATTAGTATATTAATGCAACAAAAAATTAAAACGATTGAAAATTATGTTTTAGTAGGAAAATATAGAAAATTACAAAATTTTAATAAAAATAATTTATATATGTTATATATAATAGATTTATATAAAATCTGAAATAAATGAACGCTCAAAAACCTTTCAATTGATTGTTAAACGACATTTGATAAATTCATTTAAAAATACTTGTTCATAGTGGCGGTTTCATCAAAATATGAAAGTATTAATAGAGCACATTTAATTGCAGAGCAATTTGTGTTTCAAAACACGTTTAAAATAAAAACACGTGAAATTTAATAAAATAAAGAATATTTAATAAATGGAAAATAATAATTAAATACAGAATGATGTTAATGGGTCAGTTTTAAATGATTTTATTTTATTTCAGTTTTTTGTATTAGTATTTAATTGATCATGTTGATCAAAAAATAAAAGTAAAAGTAACCTATGCTGCACAAATAATAATTTTTATACACGATAATAATTACAATGTACTACATCTTCACTTCACCAGAAACACCCATCTTGACCAGCTCGTGGTAATTTTTGTGTGTCTGAGAAATCGCACAATCGCACATTGGCACATTCCGAATGCGCACTCATCCAAGTATTCGCACAAATTGGTACTATACACACGCGAAATACACATGTACTGGCATGAGTGAATTTATTTGCAGTATGCACGTACTCGCATTTAATTACACATCTCACCAGTCGAGACATCCACTCATCGAGCGCCGGGCGTCTGCAAAATTGTAACGCACCATCGCCTAACGCTCTGCGGGGGTCTGCCATAATTATAGTTTAACATTTTAACATTTAACAAGCTGCACGAAAGCGAGTGCATGAACTTGAATTTCATTTCAAATAATGCAAGTGTTACAAAACAATAAATCTGATCATCATGGAACTGGAGTAGTCTGCAAGAAATTCCACACGGCAAAAATTAATTAACCAACACTTTAGCAATTAATTAAAGCATTAGCAACGTTAAAATTTTCATAAATATTAATTAATCTCGACGGCTGCGCGCTGGGCATTAAAACGACAATCATGAAATGATGCGCAAACGCAATGACCAAAGAAGTGCATGGCATTAGAAGAGGAATAGTCGCGGAATGGCGGCGAATGGGCGATAATCAATTAACCGGTGTGCAGTCGCGTATATTAGCGCCGTATTAGCGCGCCGGACGGTGTGTCGATGACTCTGTAATTAGATCAATGCACTTATCGCGTTTCCTTGCCATGCTGATTCGATTTCTCACGTTTCATCAAACATAACCCATCGCAGCTACTTCCAGCCTGACATAACCTAACTTGACATAACACATAGGTACTCACTTGATATAATATAACTCGATGTGACAGATTATAACCTAAATTGTCATAACCTCAATTGTGAGTTTTATATTTTGTTGTATTTTTGTGAGTTTTTATAGATTCCAGTAGGTTGTTTGTGTAATCTTGTTGTCTTGACTTGCTCCAACCACATTTGACCACACCGGAGTGTCGTGTATCGCATATAGGCGCTTAGGTCACGACGTTCGTAAGACGTGTGTAATAAATCACGTGTTTTTGTTCTTATTGTTTATATGGACTCAAAAATTTGTTTCAAATATTTTTATGCATTTTTAGTATTGTATCATAATGTTAACATTTACTACATGATTTTCAATATAGTGTATTGTAAGCAGGGATATGTTTTAATGTACTTAGGTTTTCAAGGTTATTGCGTGTAATTTGCTGCGAGATTTGTGTATGTTGAGCTTTATTCTCTGTATAAGGAAATTCGCCCATACCAAGCCACAGAAAAAAATTTGCTTATCTAGATCGACGATGTCGTCGATTACAGCAGATTGGGTGATTCTTGCAATGAATATTCTTCGTACAAGTTTTCCATATACAGTGTGTTTAAAAATAATATTTATGAATGACTTAAATTATAAAATTACAGTTTATTTAAATATTTATAAAATAATTAAATTTTGAATGTAATTAATTTATAATTTATTTAATATTTGTGAATTGTTTAGTAGACACTTTTAGTAATAGATTGTAATTTCCGTAGATTGTAGATTTGCACAGATTGTGCAAATGTGTAGATGTATTTCTCAAAAACTTGTCCACGCGTCGGATAATAAATTTCCACGGAATCACCGTCCTTAGACAGCGCGATGCTCGCTTGTCGCGCGCATTCTTCGGTCGTGTGTGTGCATGTCTTATTATAGCGCGCAAATTGTCGCACTTTGCGCATTTTTACATCCTCCTCAACGGTTTGCCGTTTTTTAAGCGGCTAATGTTATCTGCATTCATCTAAATTGATGCTTAATAAGTCATTTACATTTAAATTAACCTCATTTAGTACCTGGATGGAAAAAAACGAAGCAAGAAATAAGTATTTTTGGTATTGTAGTACATGAAGTAAATATGTACTTACCTACAACAGTACAACACACAAGCTAGCAATTGAAAAAAAAATAGTTTGGACATGTCGCGAATTATTTTCTACCTGGCGCCGGCAAATCGCAAATGTTGAGAAAAAACACTTTGTTAAACTTAGCCAACAATAATAATTTACTAACGGATAAATGAGAGGCCTAGCAGATGATAAAGTAATTTACAAATATTATTTTCTAAGTACATTTCTCGTGCCTCTTTAGTAAGTATGTTTTTCGTCTTCGGACAATGTGCGCTTGCGCCTCGTGTTTATGAATATCCGGAGCGCATACTTTGCATACCGTCTGTAATCTTGGTTTATGGCGCATATGCATTCATGCACCATATTTCTTCGATTGTTTCAAGTTCAAACTACATACATGCAAGCCCAGGCGAAGTGACTTAAGTCAATTCAAAGAATATAATATTTCAACATATGTTTTTGAAATAAAGCATTTTCTTGATAAAAAATTTAATCAGCACTCAGGAAATATAATTTCTTATTAAATTTACAAAAAAAAAAATTCTTTATAATAGAATAAAATTCTTACTACTTTGACAATGTAACTACTCATTGTCGGTATTGTTCTGTTTTACAATGTGTGAAAAGTGGAGAAATTTCCATTAACAAAAGGCGACACCAAAAGATAATAAATTAAGTAGCACGCAGCCCTATTACACACCTCCAAAATTTATGATGACTTTTTTTACTTTTCCTCGTCATACATTACACGAAGCGCGGAGATAGCCGGACGATACATATTAGATTCTTACTAATTCAATAAACAATGGTCAACTAATTGTGGCAGAAGGTGCTAAGTGGTTCTTGGCCATTAAATTTACTATCATTGAAAAAATCTGGAGTCTAGATTGAAGAAATGCACATGATACACAAACTGCTAATTGGATTAACAACTTAATATCATATTGCCAATTTTTAATATAAAAATTAAGCAAAAAGAAAGCATTAAACTAGTTTTCATCCAAGCTGTGAAATATTTAATTAATTGCCAACGAGATTTAGACCAATTAGATTTATAATTCTAACACAAGATAAATTTGTCTCAAAAATATACCTAATTAATAATGACATGAGTCGTAAAAAGTCCAAGTTTGCAAACGTTATTTGCGCCATTTACGCGGTTCGCCTGAAATTAGCTTTGCCGAGAAGAAAGCATGATCGCAAGTCAACAGGTGGGGATCGCGGCTTGGTGCGCTCGAACTTAAGTAGCTTTCAGGCCGGCGCACGTCTGGCGGTTGCGGCGGCTTCGGCGGTAGTGACTTAAGTAGTAGTAGAGCGAAGCGCACTGCACGACGCGGTCGGATCCGGTGGAATTGTCAGTTCGTCGCGACCGTCAGTCCGTGCCGCACAAGCATCTTAAGCCAGCCGCGACTTAAGAGCGAAGCCACGCGCCGCGCCGGTTTGCAAACGCGCGCGCCGCGCGACTGATGTTATTATCAGTGGCTGCTAGCTTGCGTCGATGACAAAGTGAGACAAAGTGACACACAAACACACAGATCGACATCCAGCTTAACTTAAGACAAAAATAATAAGCGTGTTTTAATTTTGACTTAAATTTATTATTATTCGCGTCGCGAATAAATCAAACAATAATTATTTCAGGACGCTTTTTATTAGGCGCCAGACACAATGTTTCGAAATCCATAAATCAATAATAAATCATTTAAATTGCGGACGAATTGAGTTAATAAACTTGTTTAGTGTGTATATTCTACATGACCACTGTGAGACTTGTGTGCGATTAGCCGTTATCAGGGCAATGACGAACGTGAATCGCATACGTGTTGTTGTGCTAGGCACCGCGCGCGTTGGAAAGTCAGGTGAGTGCAGAAAAATCAAAACAATCAACTGATAAAATACGCTGCGCCAAAAATATAATCACACCAGCACAGATTTAAATAAATCTATTATACCTACTGATACTGTAATGATTTAAAAAATAATTAATGACCAGCTGTATCTTGCGCTTGAATAAATCGGAAGCACGCATGAACGGAAAGTCGTAGAGTCGGAATCGGATCATTGCAATCTTGTCACGCACGTCAATTAATTACTCCGCGCGTACACGCGCGGAACTCGCACGACAAAACAAACAAAAATCTCTCACTCAATGGAACAAGTTTGCTACAAGTCACTTTTCAAATGGTGTAGTTTTATTACACACCTTGTATGCGGTAATTACATCTGAATCAGAGATTGGACAAGGGATGTGGTGAGACCGCAGACACCTCGACTTCCCAGTATTGGCACACAGCAATAGTGTCCAGTGTGTTTGATGTATTTACCTGCAATCGAGGTATTGACACGAAACGCTCGCCGAACGGAATCGTCTCACCATGTCTCGCCGCAATTGTACTTACACAGAACACCGTACACCGTTCTCTTCTTACATTCTGTATTCTACTCTTTACTATACTATACCAGAAGGTATTGTAGCTGATGGTGTCCCACCACTAACCTCAGGAACACGCGGTGCACCTTGCAGTTGACTTTGGCAAGTGGTTTCGTTCTTTTCCACTTGCTACAGCTTCTTGTTTGGATTTTGTATGTTTCATCTTACAAGAAACACCCAGAAGTAAATACCTGGTGATCTAATTGAATAGCAAGTTGTTTGTAAATGGCAATTTATAAATAAACAAATTATGCAAAATGGGACCCTCCTCAGGTTGACTGTTTACGTTTACGATCATAGGTACATCCAATACACAAACAACTAGTTCAAGTTACGTTGTTGTTGCCTTCTCTTTGCCTCCACTTGTTGCACCGCCGGTGAATCCTGCCTGCACATTTTGCAATTATCTTATTACCTCAAAATCGCCCGCCAATGTTCATTACGTTCATTACGCGATTACGCCCATTTACGAATGTAATAAGTATTACGAAATCGATACTCTGTGTGTTCCTCCAGGTACTGGTAGTGAAAAAAGACTCGCTTGTACGCAGAGAAGTAAAGAAGGGCAATTAGTATACAGAAGGGAGGCGATTAAAGTCGCAACTCTTCAATTTATTGCTATTAGTGCAATAAATCATCAGCGAGACGCAGTCGACCGCGCGGATTCGATAAACACGCGTTTAGCGTTCTTCTTTAATTCGTGTGTGCAGTGGTAAAATTGCAAGCGATGTGATTAAAACCAGTGCAAAATAAGATATAAAAAGTCATTAAGATAAAGAAGTTGTAGCAGGTGCAACAATTACTTTAGTTTATATTAACTACATCTTATAATTTTCCTATTAAACAACACGAAGTAACGTAATAATTGCATGAATTGTTTACGCTAAATTCACGGCCATGGTGTGCAATACCAATAACGCAAGCAAACAACATCAATATTGAAGTATATTGAACCTGAGCGTAGCTTCTGCTAGTGTGATCGTTAATTAGTTTCGTCAATGGTTTAATGTTTATTTAACAAGTCATGTTCTTACATGTCATTTCTATTCAATTGGTTTTAAGCATAATATTAATATCTGTTATTACATTTAGTAATTAACAATAAATTCTTATTTAACGTGTGAAATTGCAACTATGGGCACGTTTACAGGTAATTATCTAATACGGAAATAGATGTCATTCCAGTGGCAATACTTTAATAAGAAGTGAAGAAAGTTTATTTTGAAGTACCTAATAAAATTAAATTTTTGAAAGTATTTGTCAGAAAATTACTTATACACTAAATTTTATAATTAATTTGGTTTTGATTAACTTGCAGAGAAGAGAAATGGCGAATGTTTTCGTCGTAACATCGTCTTGTTAATGGATTTCTTGCAATTAGGAAACAATTATCGTTTGTTTTTATTACCAAATTTTATAATTTTGCCATCATACTTGTCGAAATGACTGTATAATCGCAATGTTATAAAATATACGAATCATTAGATAAATAAACTAACTTTTACCACAAGCACGCGGAATGTCAAAAATGTTTATATTTGCAAAAGTAAAAATTCTGCAAACTCGTAAAATTCAAAACTACTTTCCATAATTGCTTACCAATCAACTAATTAGCTTTTTTAAATTTAAACTTACTTTTAAAAAAATTATAAATATTTACTCCTTTTTTATGATTTTGAAACAAAATGTGAACTCATCATATAATGTTTATTTCAATTTTTGTTAATAAGACGTGTTACTCTATCGTCCATCTAGTCATCTCGCGTATTTATTTACTTACAGTTAGCATAACTAATAATAATCGCGTCGATGGATTCGCCAACGCCATAAAATAATTATGACCCAAGTTTAATATTCCCGCTTCGACTGGTGTATCTCGTTTACGTCCTTTCGCATCTTTTAACAGCGTCACAACGATGCCTGTAACTACATCAGTAACTAAGTGAGTAAGTAGCGTTTGTGGCATCTGACTAACTGGGTAAATTTTATGCAGCAGCCTCCGACTGTGTTGTTAATGTTTATATGAATATGTTGGTGTAGCGATTGGTTTTTGAGAATATTTACTAGCCAGCTACCTGGCTTTGACTTCTAGTCGAATGCTAATTTTAATATTTGCACGGACGGAATGAATATATTTTCATCTTGAGACTTTGCTACATTGATATACATAAACGTCTTAATCAGCAGCAGCGATTTTGTTTTCTTTTATAAATTTTAAATTTTAAAAATTCATTTTTATCGATTTCATCGATATGAGATCGAATTCTTCACACTTTTACTTTGGCTTCTTTTGAGTTTCAAAATTTTTTACTTTCTTTTCGTTTTCATTGTTTAACTCGCGAATTTTTTATATAAATTATTGTTCCTCTTCATTTCATTCAAGTATATTTCAAAATTTCATTATACTTTGCCCTGAGGTTGCACAAGATCCAAAGGAATTTGGCAATTTCAAAAAGTGCACAAATCAAAACTCTGAACACAACCGATAAATAAATCATCGAATGATATTTATGATTTTGAAGTATTCAATCTATAATTATCCTCACAATTTGCATTCGCTTTCAATTCTTTTTATATTGTTCTTTTGTGCGCTATTTGGTTTTGTTTTATTGTGTTTTGTTCGCGTCGTGTGTGTATGAGCACGGTGCAAAAATTAAATCTAACGATTTATGCGTTCGACCATTCGAGGCGTTCGGTTCAGACGTAATGCGACGCATTCTGAGAAAACGCCGCCGCCGCCTGAGCCTATGAGAACCTGCGTTTTTTATTTTCCTGTCCTCGGGAGAGAAAAGAAAATAAGGGAAAAGAGGATGGCACGTATTGCGCGTTAGTTCGATGGCTCCTTCGGAGCTGCGCTTGTGTTTTGACTGTTTTGAAATACGATTTTGCTCGACGCAACAAAGCGCACGACGTACGAGAACTAGTTTACGACTGTGACTTAATACTCTTACGATAACAACAAATCTAGATACAAATACCACCAGTAAAAATATCAAAAACTAATCATAATAAAATAATTACATTCAAAGGTGTTTTAAGTGTTTGAGAGTATCCTTGACAGACGTGAAGAAAGCCGAGGTGAAATTTAAACCAGTCAGAGAAGTAAAAATTAAGAGGAAGGGAAACAGCAGGTTAATTAAGATCCAAGGAACAAAGTTACGAAAGAAATAGGCCCAAGGGGAAAACTGATTGAGAAATAAACGGAAAAAGAAAAATAAACAAATAAAGAGGTTAGAACAAACTGAGACTGTAGTAGTGAGTTTCTGGACGCCACAAATCCGTCGACAGGTTGATTGAGAGGTGAGAAAGCGCCATCTAGAAATTGTTTACAAAGACATGAATAAGAGACAAATACAGGACACTAGTTTCGAAAGTAGCAGCCCAGAAAATAAACAATCTACCAAAATAAGGAACATGGCACCTGAACCAATAAGTATGCAGACAATATTAGAGGAAATGAGGAATATGAATGAGAAAATGAACCAAAGACTTGATAAGAACAAGGACGAAATGAAACAATGTATGTACGAAGGTTTCGAACAACAAAGGCAGGAAATAAACGTCCTCAAACAGGAAATAAAAGAAATAAAGGAAATCAACAAGATGAAAGAGGAAGAATGGAAAAACGAAAAGGAACAAATAATGGAACACGTAGCCAAGCTGGAAAACCAAATAGAATACCTAGAGAAGAAAGAAAAAAGGAATAACATAGTTATAAAAAATATGCAGATCAAGAATGGCAACGTGAAGGAAGAAGTTGGAAAATTCATTAAAGAGTACATAGGGGTAGACGCTAATATAACCGAGGCGGAGAGGATTAATTATAGAACAATAAAAGCTAAGATACAGGATGCAGAGCAGAAGGAGATAATAATGAAGGCCAAGAGCAAGCTAAAGGACACAAAAATATTTATAGAGAGTGAGCTCACCAGAAATGAAATGAGCATTCAAAAACAGTTATATGAAAGGGCTAAAGATGAGAGAGAGAAAGGAGCGACAGTTAAAATAGGATACAAAAGATTATCCATAAATGGAAGAATGATAAAATGGGAAGAAATGCAACAACAGAGGGCCAATCCAAAAAACCAAATAGCAGGAACACAATAAACAAGACAACAAATCGTAGAGGATGGAGACGACGCAAGGAAATAATAACAATTGGAACATGGAACATACGAACGCTATTACAAGTAGGAAAGATGAACGAAGTGGCAGATCAAGCAATAAAGAACAAAATAGACATAACAGCTCTACAAGAGGTCAGATGGAAAGGAGAAGGTGAAGTTACCAACCAAAATTATACACTATTCTACTCCGGAGGAAATAAGCAAGGAAAAAATGGAGTCGGTTTCATCGTGACAAACAAATTCAGAAAACATATCATAGAACATAAAGCACATAGCGATAGGATATCATATATACGAATAA